GCTTGTCTGGAGCATGGGTGTGTCTGCTCCTGTCTGTGGTGATCATGTGTGTGCAGTGAGCTTGTCTGTAGTAAGCTTGTGTGTGTATCAGAGTTTGTCTGTACTAAATTTGTGTGTGTACCAGTAACCTTGTCTGTGTGTGTCATTGAGATTGTCTGTCAGTGAGCCTATTTGTGTGCATCAGTAAGATTGTCTGTGTCTGCATGTGAGTATGCTTTACTGTATAATTTAATTACCCTAAAAGGACTAATATTTTGAATTGAAAAATAAATATTCCAATAATAATATATATATATATATATATATATATATATATATAAACACACACTACATAGCACAATGACTTATGGGGCTGCCATAGATTTTTTTCCAGTGCTGCTTCGTGTCCCCAGTCCGGCCCTGCCCCTACCATCTCTGTGAGCTCCCTTTACTGTGTGATTGCAGTGTGTGCTCCTGTCATGCCAAAAGCATGAGTTGGTGTTTGATGTGTGTTTATATATGTTAAGAGTTGTTTTTTTGTAAACCTTGGGATGACATTTATTGTGGTCTTTGATCTTGCACCAGGCCTAGACCATAAAACATCTAGATAGCCATCACCAGAGCTGGACACAAGGAATTTCATAGAGTGGGCAATAGACTGCCAGACCAGCCCCCTCTGATCCCCCCCCAGGGGTCTGCCCACTGAGAAACAACTAGTTTAGATATATGAGGGTGTTGAACTATCCAGGGAAGTCAGTTATTCATTTTTCTTTTGTCAGTAACTTCTAGGAGACCTATACCATCTAAGACTCCCACAAGAATTCTATATGGGGTAACTACATGTAAGGAATTTCTTGTGTTTTCTCCTATTTTATTTTATGTACTGTTTTGCAATTTATCTGTATGTCATTTATTTCTGTATTTTGTACTCAGCACTGTGAATCCTTTTTGTCAGATTAAATGTTTACTTAATCAGCTTGTGTCTCTGTTCTCTATGAGCTTCACTCTCCAGAGGAAAGCTCAGGTAAACACGTTACCAAAAAGGGTTAACTATATATGTTTTATCAGTAAAAGTAGAACGGTGATACTATAATTCTCCTGTGTGTGGGGTAACCTAAGACGCCCGGGTTTAAAAGTCTTGGTGGTGGCAGTCAAGTGTACTAAGGGAGTTAGTGTAGAAGGGATTGCAGGGGTTAATTGAGTGGTTGCTGGGACTAGCAACAGGTAACCAGGGGTCTGGTGTCATTAACCCTGTCACTTCCACACTCTCCCCACTGTCTCGGCTGGGCCTATAGCCCACGCTCGTGACAGCTCCCTTTCATGCTGCAGATTGTGGATCCTGTCCCTGCTAATCACACAGTGATACATCCTAGGCAGAAGGCACAAGCCAGTACCAATACCTCTCAGCAGTGGGGCATTCAGCCAGACCCTACCATGGTCTTATCAGACCCCTCTGTCTCCCACAAGATTGGAATCCTCCAAGATTCTAAGCTAATCACCTTGACTGAATGAGATCATTTAGCCATGGTGATTTAAAGGGATTTATGCAGAATGCAGTGTACAGTAATTTTAGTGATCTGGAACATTGAAAACACCATGTGTAACTGCAGGTATTTGCAGAGAAACATGCCCTTATTATTCTGTATGTGCAGAACCATTCGGCTGCTGGTGGAGAATTAATTATTTAGCGCCTAATAGCTGCTAATAAAAGACATACATTTTAAAATAAAAAACGAAGCAACACTTTTTATTGCATACTTCCCTAGAGCACTAGGTTCGGCAAGAACATCCCTAATTCAGACTTCTAAGCTGGGATTCTGGGTTTGCTCACTATAGTCCAAAATGGAAATGTACCCAATCAGCATGGGTGCCGTCCATTAAGCCAATGTAAAGAGCACTTTTGAATCACCCTGACTCCATAAAACTGTTCATTTTCAATTAAACATTTCTTAAGGATTGATGTAACCTTTTACTATCAACCTTTGGCCACATAAAATTGTGAAATTATATGATTTTTAGAGAAGATGGATCATAGCACATATAATAAGTTGGAAAGGCAGCCAATGTAATAAACCCTGAATATAAAAGATGAAATTATTATTATCAAACGCTGAAGGATTTTTTAATCATATAGCGACAGAGTTAAACATGAGATGACACATGGAACACTGTATGATGTTCATTGCTAGCCAAATGGAAGGGCCATGGTTACACAACACTGGCATAGACAGGAGGTTGAAGATCACAATAAAATTGTTCCTTTTATTTTCCTGAGTGCAAGAAGCTTAAATGGGGGACTAACCACGATTTTAAATTTTTTTAAACATGTGCAAAAACATCAGATACAAAATAATAAAATCCAAAAATAAATATTTAAAGTTGCGGCTTCTGAAAAAAAAATCCCAGGAGTTACGTATAAATTAGGTTGTGAGCAGCTAATGAGAATATAGTTTAACTCTGTACAGCACAGTTTTAATGGCCAAAATAGTCATTTATGGCAGTAGTAATCATTTAGTTTTTTCGTTATGAAAACTCTAGTTCAACTACAACTCACATAATCTTTTGCTGTGATTCATGAAGACTTAAAACTGTCTTACTGGAGAAACAGTGATGATACAGTTGGATTGACAGGACGGGAGATATGACTTCTTATACCAGCTGCGGTATAACAGTAACAAGCAGGAAGGAAATACTTCATTATGGAGAAGGTTGGAGGGACTGAGTAGGCAGAGTTAAAGGGATGCTACACACCCTTACTGTGCTTAAACCTATTCCAGTCCCTTGGTGCTGGGACTGTGGAACTGATTAATGCAATGCTTTCCTATGGGGATTTGACTGACGCTGGATGTCCTCATGCAAAACCTGGGTGCCTATAGTGTCCCTTTAAGATGCAGAATGCTTTGTACTCTTTTTACGCTAATACTCATGTTAGGGTAGCAGACACCCTGTTTACCAGGATCTGTAACCTGGAGAAGCTTGTACTGGCATTTGAGACTGTCGGTGCATGACTCGGCTCCCCTGCATCCTTTTAAACTCTGTGCCATAAAAGTAAGGAAGCTATGGAGAAAGGCACACAGGCATATAGACTAAATTCACACTGCCTTTGGCATGCACAAGGAGTTATCCAATTCCACCTGTACTATGCCAAACAGGGTTATTTACTAAACTGAGATTTTAGGGTGCATTCAGAGTGAATTTCAAACTTAAGGTCCAAATAGCTAAACTGGAAAAAAGTCAGCTATGCTTCTAGTTTGGCTACTCTGGTCTTAAATTTGAAATTCACTTTGAATTCTCACTTTAGTGAATAACCCTGAAAATGTTGGTGCTGAGGAGTAAATTTCCAACAAGTAATGGTGATTACACTCTCCCTGACTTGGGATAGGCTTCTGACATGATATTGATAGGGCCTCCTTCCAGCTTGTCTTTAATGTATAGGAGTGGGCCCCACAGGAACACTGGTAAAGGGAGCAGGAAGGCCATGTCCCCACCTTTCTACTGCCCATTAAAATGATGGGAGGTGCATTGAGATGTCTGTTGGCTGAGTGCTGTAGTAGTGTGAGAATAGCTAATAGTGGTACAGAGCTTCTTCTATCCCAGCACTGAGTAGGTTTGTGTCTCAGCTGGTGGCCCACGATGTTCTTCAGACATGGACTGGCCAACTGGAATATTACCTGGACCATAGTAACATGTGTGGTTATGACTGCAGGCAATAAAGACATAGTCATGCTCCGTGATCTTTTACTGCTCTGACATGCTGTGCAGGCGATTCTAATGGAGGTTGCCGAGATAGATCAGGATCATCCACACTGAGATCTCAGAGTTGCATGCACAAACAAAAGGGTCTTTGGTTTGTATCTGCTCCACAGACCAAAACTTGCAAACTCAGATTTTTTTAGAAATTTTTAGTATTTCCATCTCTCTTTTTACTGACCTCTTAAAGGACCACTCTAGGCACCCAGACTACTTCAGCTTAATGAAGTGGTCTGGGTGCCAGGTCCTTCTAGGGTTAACCCATTTTTTTATAAACATAGCAGTTTCAGAGAAACTGCTATGTTTATGAATGGGTTAAGCCTTCCCCCTAATCCTCTAGTGGCTGTCTCATTGACAGCCACTAGAGGCGCTTGCGTGCTTCTCACTGTGATTTTCACAGTGAGAAGACGCCACCGTCCATAGGAAAGCATTGATAATGCTTTCCTATGCGACCGGCTGAATGCGCGCGCAGCTCTTGCCGCGCGTGCGCATTCAGCCCAGGAGGAGGAGAGAAGGAGGATCGGAGGAGTACAGCTCCCCGCCCGGCACTGGAAAAAGGTAAGTTTTTAACCCTTTCCCCCTTCCAGAGCCAGACGGGAGGGGGGCCCTGAGGGTGGGGGCACCCTCAGGGCACTATAGTGCCAGGAAAACGAGTATGTTTTCCTGGCACTATAGTGGTCCTTTAAAGACACCCACAGGATTCAAAGGGTTTTCCACCAGTTTACTGACTCTTATTTAATGCTTCTTTGTATTGTAAACTCCATGGCCTCCAATGAGGACAGCCCTAAAACTAGCCTTTCTCAGTCTGTTCTGTTATTAAACTGGATAACCTTTGTCCTTGTGACACAACCTGTTTTTCTTTTTTATCCTAAACTGTGTGTGCGTCCCTCCATGCCACTTCTTCCCTTTGAGGCTGACATCCCTCTTTCTGTCTGATGGGTTCTCTCCATTCCTCCTGGATTCTCTTTCCTACTTACCATCTTATCCTTCATAATTCACCCAGACTCATTAATTTTGCCATTTGCAGATACATCAAATCCTGTTATGCATGACTCACATGGTAGGAAATAAAATGAATAATGCGTATGCAATAAGTTCAAAAGTGTTAAGCAGAAAATTACTGCAAATCTCTCCACCTCTTACCCTTATGATAATGCAAGGTATCAAATAATTGCCTAATGACCACAACAAATTCACTGAGGAACAATTTTAACAATAAGGAGAGAACTACCAGTGTATACAATTCATTTTTATTTAATTGCTTTAAAAAAGTGCAGTCAACAGACAGACAATACAATAAGCAGGTTATCTCACTATACATTATACGTTTTAAAATAACAGACTACTAACATTCGTAGTTGCATAATGGCACATTCTAGATTACCTACACAATGTGTTGCGTGTAAAAGTTAGTTATGCTGGTAGGGTTGTTTGTTATACTTTTTAGAAAAATTATTTATTTCATAAGCCCATTCTTTCTACCTCTGCAGAGATTCCCATTTGCTGGAAAAAAAACAAAACAAAAAGAAAAAAACAACTACTATATGGGATGTCATCACTTAGATTTCTGGGAGTTCTAGTTTAGCCGTCTATTGACTACATCTCCCAAAATACCTTGTGTAACGGAGCTCCTTGTACTCCGACTGAGTACCCTCCGTTGACGGATGCTCCTAGCACTTCCTGAGGACTCCAAGCAGTGCAGCAGACACCACAACCACCGCAGACTCCGCAACCACTGTATCTTGACTGGAGTCTCGCCGTCTTCCTTCCACCCTGGATCAGCTTCTGTCCTCCAGGACTGTGTGGGAAAGAACTCTTCCTTCCACCCTGTATGAACCTCCAGCATCCAGGACTGTGTGGTGAAGACCCCTCCTCCAAGGAGAGCATGTCAGGAACAAGCTCTTAAAAGAGCTAAGTGATTCAAGCTCAGGGGAGTATGCAGAGCATAGCACTCCCCGGTGTGATTATAACAGCTCCCTCCAATAAAGAGACAAGGCTACGTTTAGAGGGATCAAGAAGAACGGTCAAAACCTTTGTTTCCCTTGGGACCAGCCAATAGGGTCACCACAATAACATTGTTGTGAAACCTCAATAAAATCACAGTCAAACCATATCAAGCAACACACAGTGACTTATCACAACACAATGGCACATTTTTAAAGGGGTGGGGGGAGACAATATTTAACAGTAAATATCTCACCTGCCTGCAGAATTAGCAATATGCAAATCTACCCGAATATGCAAATGAACCAGTCTTGCAATTCAGGTAGTGCATATTGCTGTTGCTACCAACAGAGGGCACTAGACAAGCTCCATAGCCAAACCCACCTAGTTGGTAGCAAACCTCAGCAATACAAGAGAGCAGGCAATACATTACACAGTACACACACACACTATAAACAATTACATTACACACACCCTGACCCTATAATGGGTACAGGGTGACTAAAACATAAGATATATAAAGCAGCCTACATAAATAGTCTGCCTGAAGGTAGACAAGGGGGCTTTAAAGCCAGATACATGAAAGAGTCATAGTCACAGGGGAGGAGGCTGGCAAGTAGGCCTCTCCAGGACCAAGTGGTGAAGGGCACTTCGTCACACCTTGCTCTACCCATTCTGTGCTGCTTACATAATATACTCAGTCAGTGTTATAGAGGACAAACAAAACGAGCATGATTGGGTGAGATAACGTGTGGTTAGTGACAGGAGACTGCAGAACATCTTTGAGTTTTGCACCAAATGTAGGGATTTGAAATGAGAGTATGTTTTTTAAAAAAAATAAAGTATTAAAATGGGTCACATCTAGCATTATGTACCCTTGAAATTTTAGATATTTCGGTACCATGCCCTTCATTCTGGTCTTGATGGAGTTGCCTTTAAAAGGTTTTGCAGACATTGCAGAATATTTGCCAAGGACGTGATCCTGATCTCCTCCAAAGTCACTGCAAGCATGATCACCAAGCCTTCCGATGTTAATGATTATACTTTATAGTAACCGGGTATTTCAACAGGGAAAGACAGAATTTTTCAACAACATAGAATAAAGAATAGCCAAGGATGAATAAAGCCAGCAGATCCTTTTCAATGAGTTTGGTATGGGGCTTAAAGGGGTACTTGGCTATACTGGAATACATTTATGCAAAATCAAAACAATTTGATACATTTATTAGCTGGCTTCTATTTAAACTCTACGATTTATGGAGGCGGCGGGACATTCATTAATGTCCTCAGGTATATTTCCTGTTAATGACATCTTTAAATATCACCTATACAATCTACTACCCACTCAGTAGAGATATAGTTTAACAATACTGGCCTGGTAAACACTGAAGAGTACATTTAAATGTAAATAAATGTCAGCCCACAGTGTTGAGAGATATATATACATATACACGTATCTCACTACATACTAACTTTGTGGTTAGTTTTTTGGAAAATCTTCGGATAGTATTTAACTCTAGACAACCATTTCTGATGGACTACAACTCCCATAGTGCTGAGGCAGTTACACGTTCATTAGATGAGCAGGGTAGAGAATAGATCGCCTTCATCTAATGTGCTCTACAGTTACTAGATTGTTCAGCAGGACAAAGTTTATTTTATTATACCAGGATCTTACAGGAAAACTCCAAATACCACAGCGTCTCCTAAGCAGGAGCTACCATTACCTTTCCTGATTGGATCACTCTCAGCCAATAAGCTAGGTGTTGAACCTCAAGGTTTCACTCAAATAAAGAGCTTACAGCTCTCCTGTAACTTTACTGGGGTGGGCAGATCGAGATTATATATATTGAATCGTCCCCCCAAACTCATTTGAAAAGCAAACTTAAAAAAAAAAAAAGAATAATATTTATATTGAATTGAGGCCTATATCAGAATTTCTATAGGAACAAGGCAGCTCAGTTTTGCAAATTTACTACTCCAAACTACATGTAATATGGCAATAATTTACTAGAGTTAAGCGAAGCCCTAAAGTTTGGATGATGACAGACGTTAAAGATTGCAGCCATGGCATTTAACAATTAACCTCTGAATGACCAATCATGGTCTTTACCTTCACAGCAGTTGGTTCATTAAAGACTTGAACACGGAATGTCAGTCATTGAGTTACCGAGGGACTCGTCAGAGACAATGAAGTCTTAAGGACTGCAGCAATGTCATGCAACAATTAACCTCTCAACGACCAATGATAGGGTTTGCTTTCACAGCAGCTAAATCATTAATGATTTAAACACAGAGTCACATTGATTTAGATACAGAGGGACATATTACAGAATACGAGCGAAGTACATTAAGCATGGTATGCTATGCTACACAGACATTATAGAGTCCCCTGTCATTTTATATACACCTTTATAGAAAAAGGTTCCATTGATACATTGTAAAGATAAATAAAGTTATTTCACCAAACATTTGTGTCCTCCACAGCCATTGATACAGCAGGAAATTGTGACCATATCAGGACTCCATGTTGCATGAGGACAAAGTTTTTCTTGTAAGAAGTCATTTTAATCAATACGTTTGTTGGTTGTTTGGCATTATACAGTTGGCTCTTTGCCTGCCATCTCTTTTGTACTTTTACAAGATATCTCACTTCTATTGTTTACAAACTGGATGCAAAATTGAGGAAAATATTCCCTAACTGGCTATTTTGGCCAAATGATGTCGAGGCAGCACAACCCAGATATTACAGAATACATCTCTAAAAGTTCCCACTGTAGAATGTTCATCAAATCCCAAAAAGGCAGTCATAGAAACTGCAAGCTTCCCAAAAGCTCAACAGAATAATTATATTTGAGAAGAAAAAAAATAATCCAATAGAAGGCAAAACTAACTTGCCATTTCATATAAAGAATAAAAAAAAAAAACAGTCACGAATAAACAGAGAAATCTTCTGACCTGATATGCTTTTATTGTTAAACGTTTTTAGTATTTATCATAGAAGGCACTTACAATACAGAAAAATAAAACGAGGCACCAGGTGTGCATAATGTAAATAACAAAATCAGTAACTGGATAGAGCACCCATTCCTGGTAATCATACAGGACATGAATCTGCTACAGATGCCTCAAGTTAAAACAGTTTCGGAATCACATAAAATCATAAAAATCATTCTACTTATTGAGGTTAAAATAAGAAAGAAAAAAAAAATGACAAAAACAAAAACTAAAAGTCAATAAAACAAACAAAAACATCAAGCACACAATGGTAGCAGGAATCACGAGTTAGTGGTTTTCTCCAAGTTGGGCTTTTAGTTGTTGCATTGCAGGAGATCTTGGTACATGTCGACAAGGTAATTTGCCTCTCTCTGCCCAGAAAGCAGAGCGCCGTGAGTTGTGGAATAATACTTTCGGTGAGTTGCTTCGCCTGAAAACATCACCTGCATGGGCTGAAGAAGACATAGGAAGCAATCAGTGCTATTCTTCAACTATCACTTTACAGAACTGTAACACGGCCACTATGAGATTTTATAAGCTCATTTCATGCATATTAAGGAGGAAATAAAGGATTTGATTTCCGTCTTGCACACACAGTTTAGGAATAAAACATGTACACAAAGATAAATTATATTTTATCCTACGCACTTGAGTTGTAATACTTCGTACTGAACAAGTCAGGCAGTCGCTTGTTTAATTCATAGAAACCTCTCTTTATGCAGCAGCGAGAAAGCTTTGCTCCTCAACGAGCATTTCCAGTTAAAGGGAAACTATAGTTACCAGAAAAAAAAACTACATATTACTGTAGTTGTTCTGGTAAGTATAGGCAGTCCATGCAGGCTTTTTTCAGAGAAAAGGCAGTGCTTACATTACAGCCTAGAAACACTCCACTCCTCAGACAGCCACTAGAGCTTCCTGGGTCAGGGATGCACACTGTGCAGCACAGGTGTTCAGAGGACGCTGGTCTTTCCCCATAGAGAGGCTTTGATTCAATGCATATCGATGAGGAGATACTGATTGGCCATGGTGGCATTTGGCCCAAGATCATGAGAAATTACAATTTCAGTCAATCCAATGCTTTCCTATGGTATCATCAATTCTGATGTCAGCCAAGGAGGAGGATCGGGTCAAAGTCAGCACCTGCACACCCCCGCAATACTGGAAATAAGGTAGGTTTTCTAGTTATTTACGGGGGGTAATGGGGGCTAGCATTTTTTTTTTTATTCATTTTTTTAACGCTATAGCATCAAGAATACATGTGTGTTCCTAACCCTATAGTATTCATTTAACTTCTGAGGCTGACTGGCAGCAGACATTTGTTGCACCTACAAGTTGGTCGGCCCTCAGACATCTGAATTAAATGGATCAGGTGGGTCTTTTGCATTTGCAAAGACCCACCTGATGAAAAACATAATGAGGTCTCCACTTTCTGACAGAAGTCGTGATAAATCAGCAATCTCTAGCTTTCTCCATAACAATTAACTTTAAAAATTATAGACTAATTAGTACAAATATCATTAAAAAAAAAAAATTACAAAATTCCTCGAGGCTTTCATTTACATGTTCAAGGATTTATAGCAGTGAATGCAAATCCTGAGATGCAACTACATTTCCTGGCCATATCCATGGCAGCACAACATCCATTTTCCTGGCCATATCCATGGCAGCACAACATTGGGTAGCTCCTCCCTATCCCCATTGGACAGGAATAATTATTAAGCCGTATAAGTACCACCTCCTACCCCTCCTTCCCCAGTCTTTTTTTCCTGTCCTATCCCTAGGACATGTCGGTCTTTTTCAGACTATTAGATTTTCTTTATGGCTTACCTGAGGATTAGTTCCTCTAGCCCCTGGGGAGTTCACCCTCTCTCCCCTGGGAAGTCTCCAGTATACGGCCCTGCGCAAAGGTGTCCCCCTGGAGAAAACCCCTTTAGTGACCGGGGGTTTTACCTTCCTGTAATTCTTGCAATAATGCAAGTGGAATAACATGGAATATTCCCCCCCCAGAATCAAGGTAATGACTCCATGAATTGGTTCCTACCTGTAAGATTATTCTTCTGAAGATACAGAGGTAATTGAAACTGTAATCTCTCTGTGCTGGGGTTCCCCCTCAGAAGCTGCAGTGTCTGCGCGGCGTTTGGGAGCTCCTATGCGCCTGCGCGGCGTTCGGGAGTTCCAGGGCGCCTGCGTGGCGTTCGGGAAATTTCTGTGCGCCTGCGCGGCGTTCGGGAGTCTCATGGGCGCCTGCTCGGCATTCGTGGGCTCCCGGACGCATGCGCGGCGTTCGGTTGTTTCTGAGCGTTCGCGCGGCTGTGTTTGAATAAGCGCGCGAACGCGATTAACGAATTAGCACGTTCGCGCGCAAAATCCATTCATTTGGGCCGTTCGCGCGTTTTCTCGCTAATTCGCGCATGCGCGATGACGTCAGATGCCCTTCTTAAAGCGCCAGACCTCTTTTTTCGGGGTAGGTTGAGTTTCTTCCTCCAGGAAAGTTTTTTCTGCACCATTCTGTTGGTTCTTCGCCTTTCCAGGTTCCTTTTTCCTTCTCAAGCATCGAAGTAAGTTTTTCTCCTATTTTATTTTTTATATATATTTCTTCTTGGTATTAGTTTCGCTGTTCCATCTATTCCTTATAGATGGATTCTCGCTCAGGATCCAGGGAATCGGATTCTTCTCATCACAATAGGTCACAATCTAAGCAATATAGGTAAGCCATCCTTTTTAAAAAAAAAAAAAAAAGAGAGGTAATGTACTAATGAGCACGTTTGTTGTATTTCAGTGCTAAAAGTACAAAGACTTCAGGATCGTCCAAGGGGAAGTCGCCCAAAAGGACGCTGTGTATATCCTGTGATAACAGAGCCATAGAAGGGAAACGTCTCTGTTCAGATTGTCTCTCAGCAGCTGCTGGCCCTTCTCATTCAACACCGGACTTTATGCAACTTATCAAGCATGCAGTTGCCCAGGGCATAAGAGAGGGTGGTAAGACCCACAAGCGACCTAGATATTCTGAGCCCTCAGATTTATCTCCAGGAAACTCTGAAGAAGAGTTAATGGATTCAGCTTCTCTGAGAGACCTAGCTTTTTCCTCGGAGGAGGAGGCTATCCCTGATCCTGACTTCTTGGTACCTGCGGAGGTGGATCATTTAATTGCCCGGGTCAGAGAAACCCTTACCTTGAAGGAACCCTCAGAGGAGGAACCATCTACATCTAACCGCTATTTCTCTGATCTTAGAAGAAAAAGAGCGGCTTTCCCTGTGCATGCCACAATTAGTGACCTTATTAAAGAAGAATGGTCCAGGTCTGACCGGAGATCATCTGCAAAAGGGAAGTTCTCCAGATTATATCCGTTTCATTCCAAAGATGCTGAAACATGGGATTTTCCACCTAAAGTTGATGCTGCAGTGGTCAGACTAGCCAAGCACACTACCCTTCCTGTAGACGATGCAGGTTCCTTCAGGGATCCTATGGATCGTAAGATGGAATACTACCTTTCCAAATCCTATGTAGCCTCAGGCACGAGTCTCCACCCTGCCGTTGCTCTCACGTCAGTTACAAGAGCTATGAAGGTTTGGATACAGGAACTGGAAGGGGACATCAGGAGTGGCAGAAGCCGATCTTCCATTGTGGAGGACCTAAGAGATATGCGTCTAGCAATTGATTTTTCATCAGAAGCTGCAGTGGATCTGGTAAGGAGCCTTGCTAGAAATATGTCCTTCTCGATTTCCTCTAGGCGAGCACTTTGGCTCAGATCTTGGGCAGCCGATGCTTCCTCCAAGAATAGTTTGTGTTCTTTGCCATTTCACGGGAGTATGTTATTTGGCAAGAATTTGGACGAATGCATTAAGAGGGCGGCTGAAGGGAATAAAGCCTTTTTACCTCAGGAGAGAAAATATAAAGGATCCTTTCGTGCCCGGAAAGAGTATCATTCCTTTCGTGACAGTAGGTCCTACAAGCCGGGCAGAGAATATTCCAGATTTCAACCTGGGAGAGGAGCCCCATCTGGAAACAAAGGAGGCAAGTCACGCGGTTCATCTTCCTATAAAAACCAGAGGAATCTATGACTATATAATTCCCAAATCCGAAGGTGTCGGGGCTTGTCTTCTCCAATATCTACCGATATGGGAAGCATCCACAAGCGACAGTTGGGTACTGGATATCATTCGGAGAGGTTACTTGATAGAATTTCTCGAGCATCCTCCAAGCAGGTCCTTTCACCTCACAAAGTGGCCAGGGGACAAGGAAAAGTGCATGGCCCTACAAGACTTCATCCTTTCCTTGCAGAAGGAGAAGGTTATCACCAAAGTGCCAGCCGGCGAGAGAACTCAAGGGTTTTACTCCCACATCTTCCTAACGAAGAAATCCTCAGGGGGATGGAGACCCATTCTGGATCTACACAGGCTAAACAAGCATCTGCACATTCGCAGGTTCAAAATGGAATCCTTACAATCTATAATAAAAGTAGTGTCTCCCAACCAATGGATGCTGTCCATAGATCTGTTAGATGCATATTTTCACATACCCATCGCCCAAACTCATCAAAAGTTTCTGAGGTTTGCTGTGGAAGAAGGTCACTTCCAGTTCAGGGCCCTCCCCTTTGGACTGAGCACAGCTCCGAGGACATTTACAAAGGTCCTGATTGTCCTCATTGCAGAACTCAGAAAACAGAACATTGCGATTTACCATTATTTGGACGACATCTTGATCTTAGGAAACAACGTAGATTCTCTGACATCCCATGCTATTACCAGCATTCAGTTTCTGCAAGCTCACGGCTGGAAGATCAACACCAAGAAGAGCCACCTCCACCCAACGCAATCTATGGTTTACTTAGGAGCTCACTTCGACACTCTAAAGGGCACTGTCCAACTTTCATCAGCAAGAATACAGAAACTCAAGATGTTATTGAGAAGAATGCTGATATCCAGGGTGGCCCCGGCAAAGGCCATAATGAGCCTCCTGGGTTCCATGTCCTCCACAATAGGACTGACCAGATGGGCACAGTGGAGAATGAGACCATTCCAAGCCAATTTCCTGAGACAGTTCTCCTCCGGGAACCTGCACCAACCCATCAAACTTTCCCTGAATGTACGCCATTCTCTAATCTGGTGGCTAAACAGGGAGCACCTATCAAAGGGTTTTCCACTAGGAGATATCGCGTGGATAACTGTGACAACGGATGCCAGCCAATGGGGATGGGGCGCTCATTGTCTCCACGACTTTGCGCAGGAAGAATGGAGTTTCAGGGCAAACAATGTTCATTCCAATTGCCTAGAGCTTCTGGCTGTCCTCAAAGCATTGAAACACTTCTCTAATCATCTCAAGGGGCAATGGGTGAAGATAAGGACGGACAACTCCACTGTGGTATCCTATGTCAATCACCAAGGGGGTACCAGGAGCTGCAAGATGATGGAAATCATGAATCACCTGATGTGGTGGACTCAGAGAAACCTGGCGGGCCTTACTGCCATCCATCTACCAGGGAAACGGAATCATCTGGCGGATTTTCTCAGCAGATCCAGGATAGATCCGGGGGAATGGTGCCTCTCGGACAGAGTATTCCGCTTGATTGTGGACAAATGGGGCCTCCCTCAAGTAGACCTTCTAGCCACTCGGGCCAACAGGAAAGTAAAGCTTTTCTTCACGAAAGAACCACCTAGCACTGGGGAGGGATGCTTTATCAAGCCCCTGGAGGTTCAGGATGGGCTATGCTTTTCCCCCATTTCCACTAATTCTCCCGCTCCTGAGGAAGATGAGAACAGAGCAGGTGTCTCTCATCCTGATTGCGCCTTATTGGCCTCGAAGACCCTGGTTTCCTCTGCTTCAAAGTCTTTTGGTGGAACCTCCTCTCCCACTCCCCAGAACTCCGGATCTTCTGTTCCAAGGTCCTGTGTTTCATCCAAATCCGGTCTCTCTCAATCTCATGGCTTGGAGACTGAAAGGAACCGGCTTTTGAGTAAAGGATTCTCCCAGGACGTTATAGGCACTATGCTGAAGGCACGTAAGCATTCCACTTCGGCCACTTATTATAGAGTGTGGGAAGTTTTCTCTGACTGGGCCCTTCACAGGAACATTAATATTCAAGATCCTTCCTCCTCTAATATTTTGGAGTTTCTGCAGTCTGGGCTTGCTAAAGGGCTGAGCTATAACACTCTCAAGGTGCACGTCTCAGCCTTGTCCGCTCTAACCAATCATCGATGGGCACTGGACGCGGATGTCATCAGATTCATCAAAGGAGTCCTTCAGATAAAACCTCCTATTAAACCATTTGTTCCATCTTGGAATCTCCCTTTGGTCTTGAATGCCTTAAAGTTGGAACCTTTTGAACCATTTGAGACAGTTCCTCTTCATGCTCTCTCTATTAAGACTGCTTTGCTGATTGCCCTAGCTTCCGGCAGGAGGGTTTCAGAGCTCCACGCTCTATCCATTAAGGAGCCTTTTACGGTCTTTCACAAAGACAGAGTTGTCCTCCGTACGGTTCCCGAATTTCGACCTAAAGTCACCTCCTCCTTTCACATCAACGAGGATATTGTTCTTCCATCTCTGAGGTCTGACTCCCTAGAAATGGAGAATTCTACTAACCTATCTTCTCTGGATCTAGTAAGATGCCTCCAGATATATATTAATAGGACTTCTGCTTGGCGTACTTCTCACAGTCTTTTCGTCCTTCATGGCGGCTGTAAAAAGGGCTCACAAGCTCCCAAATCTACCATTAGCAGGTGAATAGTAGCAGCTATTATTCTGGCTTATCAATCTGCTGGATATCCGGTCCCTGTGGGTCTTAAAGCCCATTCCACGAGGGCTCTCTCATCTTCCTGGGCAGCTGCTGCTAATGTTTCTCCTGAACTAATTTGTAAAGCAGCTACATGGTCTTCCTCTAACACTTTCATTAAGAGCTACCAAATTGATGTTAGAGCAGGTATATCTGATCAATTTGCTAAATCAGTTCTGTCTGTATCCGATACCTGATTTCTATTTTTCACCTGTTGTGGTGTTAATACACTTTGCATTCAAAATTTTTGGAGTCTGTGTCTCTTTCCCTCCCTGGTTTATTGCTTGGGTATTACCCAATGTTGTGCTGCCATGGATATGGCCAGGAAAATGGAAAATTTATTCATACTTACCGTAATTTTCTTTTCCTGGTCATATGCCATGGCAGCACAAGGGTCCCACCCGGGGCTATTGCTGGAAAACATGACTGGGGAAGGAGGGGTAGGAGGTGGTACTTATACGGCTTAATAATTATTCCTGTCCAATGGGGATAGGGAGGAGCTACCCAATGTTGTGCTGCCATGGATATGGCCAGGAAAATGGATGTTGTGCTGCCATGGCATATGACCAGGAAAAGAAAATTACGGTAAGTATGAATAAATTTTCCATTTTCTCCTAAAGAAAAACTATATCTCTTCTTGAAGGGATTTAATGTGCATGCAGGTGTGAGGTCATACTTGCAAAGGCTTGCTAAATCCCCATAGAATGAAATAGGATGAGTTTTATGGATTTAAAAAAACGGAGGCAAAAATCATAAGTAGAGATGCAAAATTTCTTGAAACAGTGGAAAAAAAACAAAAAACATTTTTTTCTCATTATTTTCCAGAAAATGTAAAAGTAGTAAAAGCAGTAAAAGTACTCTTACAAATTGGAAGGCATTTAGTTGCATTGGGAACATAAAATGCAGTGCGTGTAGAAGTATTGTGCTTGAAATAAAAGTACAGCTTATTCCATAAGTAATAAACTAAATTTGCTTTTAAAAATTATTTGTTACAAACTGAACTACAATGACTAAAGATGCTAAGAACTCATGAACTATAATGAACTTCTTTTGCCAGTACACAAGAAAAAGGCAACCCCCCAAATAGAATTAAAAAAAACTAAACAAAAACTGTCAACATTATAAAACTATTAACATAATTTTGTCTCCTTTAATCATCCCGCTCATGGAAATAGCAAAATTAAAAGCAAGCATAATATTCAGTTACAATATGGTTACACTTTCAGAATTCAGAGGAATTTCAACGCTTACCTTTCAAGCAAGGCCTAATTTATTGCACAGGAACAACTTAACAATATCAACAAGATAGAGCCCACCAGCAAAATAAACTGAATCATATTTCCTGCATTGCCCCTAGAGACAGAAATGTATATTTCTTTTATTTGGGACTTCAGTATTTGAATTGTATTCAAGGATTTCTTAGTCTTCATGGTACAAGAATTGCAATAATGTGAGACTACATATGGTCTCATGGGTCTTTCATAAAAGTCTTCATGTTATATAGTTTTTCGAAAAAATTTTTTCAAAAGTTTTAAATAAATTAATGCTGTCCTATGTCCTTTATTGTGAAAGAATATATGCCATTATTTTCAAATTTTCCCCCCAAAAAATAAATAAATGTCTGTTTGCCAGATTGGTAGTGCCAATGCAGTGACCAAGATTTCATTGGGCCAAGTTTCCATAAACAATAAAAATATTTGGTGCGAATCAGAAAGTAAAACCTATTCTCACACGTCCCAAGCTGCATGGACTCGACCTTGAGAATGCAAGGTTTGACAAAATGCTCCACAGACAGTTCACTAGAGGTTGAATGGTAGAAAGGTGGGTGTAGTGAATTTGGTACAATATTTGATATATTCCACACCACCTGCTCAGGTATTTGTTCTCATGGGAGCCGGGGGTATGCGTTTGACCCTTACTATTCAAGAACTTCGTTTTTTCTCCCAGGAACCAATATATACTTACAACAGTTTTTGAGCTCTCGGTATAAGGCAATGGTTTTCCCAGCTTCTCAACATCTTCTCCACTGGAACCTACTTGTGTATAGGAATATGATCCTAGGAAAAGCGGGTTACTACCCCATGAAGACCTCAGGATGCGCCGAGGCTTTGGAATGTTCGGATTCCCTAAACGAAATAAGGAGATCAATAAGAAAACCTTAAAATTAAGATTACCCAAATCTCAAAAAAGTATATTTCTACATACAAACCTAACCGGCTAGAAAGAGGCATCAATGGACCTACATAACTCAGACAGCCACTAGAGATCCTTCATAGTACAGTCTGACAATCATTACAGGACCCATGTTTGGCATCTTCATGCTGTACATCTCTGGGAGGAGATGTTCATTTGCGTAAAGGAAGAGGTGGAGGGGAGACATTATGTCCCTCCCCCTAGTAATATATAGCTATAGCCCCACTCACTACCAAAGGTTGATAGCTGGGAGGGAGGGGGAGTTAGATTTTCCATGCTGTATTGTAATTATAGCCCCCACAAGCTGCCTATGGTTGGGGCTGAAGGACTAGTTATTCCACGATAAATAATAATAATAATAATAATAATAATAATAATAATAATAATAATAGCATGGGAGACCTAATTTGCTTTCCCCAGCCCCAATCACAGGCAGCAGGTGAGAACTGTTATTAACAGCCCCCACCTGCTGCCTATGGTTGGACATTGGGTGGGGGTAAATTAGGTCTCCCATGCTATATAATAATAATCATCCTCACCACAACCTGCTACCCATGGTTGGAGGCAAGGGGGATGGTTATTATACATATATAGTTTTTCATTAGCTTATTCATCATCATTTAAATAAAGTGAATGTGAAGTCTTACGCTACTAGTCTAGGCTACGGTGTGCTGGCTATATGTACAATGAGTGTGGTGGCTGTATGTAATATGAGAGTGTGTGCGGACTGTATTTTTAATAGTAATGTGACTCAGATTTTTATTCTCTACAATTTGAGTATTTTATGCATACATTTATGATTTTTATAATGTATACACATATGAATATTGTACATGTGCACAACACTCTCAAAAATAAGAGTATAAATTATTTAATCAAACCTTGTCCTCACTAACCGACACACACAATTACTGACCCCCCCCACACCCCACACACTCATTCTGACATACAGAACCAAAAACACTATCTTACTCAAAAATTATGAAATATCCTATCACTGATACCCTGCCAAACAAAAAGGAGTATTCTGTCTAGCAGACTAGAACGGTCCAGTAAAATGCTTAGAGAGGGGAAGAAGGGACAACCGAGCATGGAAACCAGCGAGGGAAGCTTTGCCCTAGCATTGGATTCCAGGTAAATACTTCATATTTTACAGGGTTTTAAGGGTTGGGCTGTGGGAAAGTTAAAAAAAAAAATAAAAAAAAAAAATTTAATTAGGAGGGAGGAAGGGGAGAACAAAATTTCCCCTTGTATGCAAACTGCCTGTAAGGGAGAAGTTCCTTACAACTTCCAGCAACGCGCAGACGACCAATGTAAATTTTGCACAGAATTGATATTGGACAGCCTGGAACAGATTCTCTTGAAATGAAGATTAAAAAAAAAAAAAAAAAAAAAAAATTTTAATGAAACGTAGTAATTTTACAAAATAATAAAAATAATATTGAGACTGGTAAGAGACTATTTTGCTTGCAGATTGATTCTTTAACCCACACTTATCGGTCTTGTCTATAATAATTACATCTACATTTAGCAAAGTCAAGATTTTGGATTTTATGTAGATTATTATGGTTCTTCTTTAAGACTTCATTAACATAAAAGTTATGTTAATAACCTCCATTCCGACCTTCAACTAAATACAAGTGCACAGATGGCTCATGTAAACATTCTAAGCAGACATATTGTATTTCATGAGGAAACCAGTTCACGGAGGTCAAGAAAAAATAAAAAAAAAAAAAAAAAAATAAATATAGTATCTCTTTTCTTCCACGGATAATCTTAATGAGGGAACCACATGCTTCTCGTCTGGCAATTCTTTATTTTAGTAGTTAGGCAGTAGTTTAAATTATTTAAGACATTTTCATATCTACTTCCCATTTCTGAAATGATGCTTGCTTTTTTGCATCTTTGTAACTTTTTTCAAAAGTTGCTGCCCAAGGTCTTTCCGAGTGTGGCTCCTCCCCTTCTTCCAGTCATTCTTGGTTCCTAGTTCGTGGCGTTTAACCCCTTAAGGACCAAACCTCTGGAATAAAAAGGGAATCATGACATGTCACACATGTCATGTGTCCTTAAGGGGTTAAACTTAGCAAAAAGTTAAAAGATTACTCATTTCCTTATAAGGAAGTGAAATTTGGAAGCAAGCAGAATGTTAAATGAATCCATCGCTTGAGCCCTCGGCCATCTTTAGTGGCATCAGCAATCAGACTACACAGCAAGTGATGGCATTTAAACTCCAGGCAGGAGTTGACCTGCCCTGTTTTTTTTGTTTGTTTTTTTAACATGCATTGTATAGAAAAGAACATCTCAATTATACCACTCATGTTTTTATTATGTAGATGTGGCCATGGCTCTGGCCCCTTCAAAGATAACTGTGCAAGAGCTTGTCTGGGCACATGTTATAAAAGTAAGGCAAGGGATAACCATTTTTTTTTTTTTTTTAAATAAGATATATCTGCTCACCCAGTGGTATTTACCTCCTGATTCTCTCTCTGTTTTTGCGTACATGATTGTTAAACTTTATTTTTTAATTTTTTTATTTTTAAAACATGATGTATCTGGATTATTCCAGAATAAACTACAATTGAACATGTAGAATGTAGAATGCACGCGTTATTGTACTGGATACAGAAACAGTATAAAACACACCTGCACTATGTTAACTAAAGGCAATTACACAGATTGTTACAGTGGCTACCTAACAGATAGAAGGCACAAAAGCAAAATGTATGCGAACACTAAAGTTACATTATAAAGTACCTGTACAGTATGCCAAGTGAATAGAAGTAACCAACCTGTAAATTTGCGTAGCAGCTCTGTGCAGGTTTCTGCAACCGTCTCGTCATCACATTTCTCCATAATCAAGGCTTCCTCTCCACATATCCATCCACTAAGCACGTAGCCATATCTCTCAGGTGGGTACAGGACATCAAAGCTGCAGATCTTCCTGAACCACATGCCCTCTGGGTAGGTAAGACTTTCACTTTCAGCTTCATCTTCCCAGACAAACTGGATACTGTTACACTCTGGACTCCAGAAAGGCTCTTCAAATTCCAAGAAGATCTTGTCTGTGGTGCTAATACCCAGTTTTTCGATGGCTAGGACTTTGTCTTCTGGGAGGCTGGGGTGAAATAATGTCTCATGGCATTTTTTTAAGACGCCCAATGAGGTGGTTACAATGACATGGTCAGCAGGTATGAACTCGTAGTCTTCACACTCCACAAAGACAGGATAACCTTTATCTTCTCCCTGGTCGTTATTGTGGTCCGCCACACCTTCAATCTGCTTCTGTATGGACCTATTCCAGTGAATGCATTTCACAGGTTTGCACATCTGGATGACCGACTTCGGGATGGAGCAAGAAAGGAGTTCCACAATCTTAATAAAGCCATATGGAATTACGTGATGCGCACCTGGGATTTCGGTCCATTCACCAAACTCGCTGAGTGACACATCGTCCATGCTATGTGAACTACTCTCGCAGCTTTCAACCTGTAATAATGACATAAAATATCCTCATAGCATCCTGCCACAACCAAAATGCTGGTGGAAACCAACTTAAAGTGAATCTGTCAGCAAAAAATTTAATTCCTTACATTTTACTTTGTAAAAGCTTTAGTTTTCCATATACTACATAAAGGAAAGTAGGGATTTAATTTCCTTGTGTACAGAATTCACGTTGACAAAAGTGGACAAAGGGTGGAATTTAAAGGCACCAATACAACTTTAATGTATTTGAAACATTTTGGCCTCATTAGTTTGCTGTATTTTTATATACCCAATTCTTTATAGTTTTTGCAAAAAATAATTATTTTGCAGAATGCTGCACCATAAGCTGGCCTCCTTAGCCACACCCCATCACTCAAGAAAGACTTCCTTATCAAATGTATGCACACAGCCACAGCCTAACAATGAGTGAGACATTTCATTTACAACCTGGCTGCAGACAGGCTAAATATAGGTGTCCTCTCCTACTAATGCAGATTGGTTTGTAGTTCATATTGCTGTGAATTTGTATTTTTTTTTTAAACAAAATGCAATTCTATTGTGTCTACTTAAAGGGACACTATAGTCACCAAAGCAGCTATAGCTTAATGTAATGGTTCTGGGGTCTATTGCCTATTCCTGCAGGCTTTAAGATAAAAGAGAGTGTTAACATTATTACCTAGGAACATCTCCAGTGGCAGTGACCCAGATGGCTACCCGAGGTGCTTTCTGGGTCTCCACCCAGAACTCTCCGCAAAGAGATGAATTGATTCAATGCATCTCTATGAGGAGATTCAAATTTGCACAGTATGGCATTTTGCAGGCATGTACAATAGCCTCCCAATGCTTTCCAATGGAAAAGCATTGGATTAGTAGAGATCAAATTTGATGATCTCGGAGGAGGAGGAGGAATGTGGGCAAAGCCAGCCGTGACAACACCATTGTGGTGCTGGAAGAGGCTATGGCCTTCCTCAAGGCACTGGGCATACAGGACGCAACTCTTTCAATGAGCACCAGCCATCACTGGGATGTCTTCTTGATCACTCCCTTTGTACCAGGGCGAGAGCGTGACTCTCTGACCTAAATATCGTTGACCATATCTAAGTCCCCAAATGTTTCATGTCTACCTTATACTTTTATGCCAATGTTATTTCTGTATAGTTGTGTTTATATGTTATTATAATTTATATTTTACACAAAGCAGCCTTACGGTGGATGACTTGCTATAGAACCTAAACCCACCCCTTAGAGATAGCTTTCAATGCTCATAATGTCGCATGGCATCATAAACATATAATTCCCAGCAACCCCATACACATAGAGTATGCAGGTCAAAATGGCTACAGTGTGTATAAGGTTTCAAAAAAAATTAAAAGAAAATATGAAATTAGAATGAACATAATGTACCAGTGAGTCAGAGGCATAAATAAATGCAAATGTTTTAGTGTATAACCTCAAGGCTCACTGAGTGTACTCTTAAGAATACTAATGATTGTTTTCATTTATCTCACAATTCATATAAAACAATATTGAACATGGACAGATTTCTTATAGAGGCAATCTTTCCTGTCTGGGGAGGGGCGTCGTCCTGTCTCACCTTTAGATATTGCTGAATCATGGCCAGCTTTAGCCTTTTTGTGGTCTCTGAATCATCGGAATCATCTTTGATCCGTTTCCGTACCACGTCGCGTGTAAAAACTCCAACGCTGTTCTGGCTCTCCGCATTGACCGGCTTTCCATTTTGAAAGAACTCCTGAGTCAGGTTATAGACCTGGGATTAAAAATAAAACGTATTACATTAAAGAGAAAAACCAACAGGAGCTTGTATAAAATGAGCATAATGCTTACGCACTTTTCCTGGTTTCATATAAAATATAAATCTACGCATATTTTAGTTCACCTTTTACGCCTGAAACAATAGTATTGCCGTCAAATGATGCTAAACCATGAGTTACGGACACAGTTTGAGAGGAAACCATTACAGAGGCATGAGGATAAACAAGGTATTAATGCGGTTACCACATTCCTGGAAAAGTGAAGTTTATAAGCGTAAATCTAACAGATAGCTTTCATGGAAGTTCAAAGTGGTCCAAAAGTATTTTCATAAGCAAAGATACGTTATACATAAACAAAGGAGGTGCTATAGGGTTATAGCACTCCCCTGAACATGCATACATTAGAAGGGGGCTTCTTTTTGTTAATTCATATAAAATCCAGTGCACTCATTCAACAGATTTTTAAACCTAGACTCACCTCGTTATATAAATCACTGAATTCTTCAACCAGGTCTTTTGGGATCCTCTGGCCACTGTTGGTGAGGTAGTGAGCCACTCCATTCTTGGAGTATAGACTAATGCGACCAATGCTCCGCTCTCCATCAGTTGTTTCTTCAAGCAAGCCATTGTCTTCTGCTAGATGGTAGATGGGGTTGCCATTTGATCCATGGATCCAAGTAGCGCCCAGTTCAAAAGTAGCGTGATCTACAAGCAAGCATAACTAAAATAATCTACACACAGTTATGTTTCTGTTAGAGTCACATTACTATTATGGCAGCTATCTAGATAATACAATGTTAAAACTGGTCACCGGAATTTTATTATTATTATTATTATTATTAGTACAGCACCAATATATTTGGCAGCTTGGAATGATAGATTAACCAAATGCACAAAGTAAGCTGATCACTTAATTAAGAAGGATTATTTAAAAAAAAAACAAAAAAAAAAACAAAAAAAAAAAACAAACAAAGACATGCTTTAAAACAACATAAATAAGCAGAGCCTTCGATCATATACAGATATGTCATTAAGGCGGATTTTTAACGGTAATGAATAAACTCACCAAGTTTTATACTTTGCACTCTGCCTCCAATATGGTCAGATGCCTCAAGGATAGTAACATTCGTGAATCCCTTCTCAAGGAGGGTTTTTGCTGCAGACAGGCCAGCGAGCCCGGCACCAATAATCACTATTCGAGGTTGTCGGTTTCTCGGTAGACCACTACTAAGAGGATCATCAGTGCTGTCTGAAGATATTTCACAACTTTGCATGCCGTCCAAACTCTCTTTTTAGTTGACCTGGTTTAAAAAAAAAAAAACCCAAAAAAAACATTTAAATGGATTTCAATACAACATATCTGGTTGAGCATTATAGATCCAGTGCACGGACTACATTTTAAGAAAACTGAGACACACAGCTATAATGTATGGCTGGTCAGACAAGTCTCAAAGTTTTCCCGTGCTTCTATAAGCATTTTGAATCGACCTTTTAGCGATCCATTGCTCTCGTACCGTAATGGGTTTTATTAGAATATTGCACAGCGCAGTTAAAAATGTTGTCTCTAAATAAATATAATTATATATGCATACCCATGTACATAAATATATATTTTATACAACAGATATCACAATAAAAAAAAAAAAAGGAACAAATAAAATAAACTAGAAAGACAAAGGCCTGTGTTCTGGGACTCGTGGCCAAATGGTAGAACCCATAACTTCACACACCATAACCATTTCAGCCAGTTTTAATAGTGGATATGCTTGAGAAGACCAGAAGCAGCATGGGTGCCCAGGCATACCACGATAAGTATCAAACCATGCTAAAACAGTTTCACAGGTTACAGAGAGGTAATGCCATGGGAACCACTACACAGCACAGTAGTACAACATCCTTGGACCTACTTTGCATTAGTGTAAAAGTCACATTATCAAATAAGCTGGAGATGTCCCAAATGGCTTGCCCAAAAAAAAAAAAGGAGGATGGCGCATACCGCCTCTGTGCGCCATACAATTAAAAGTGAATGGTTAGAAATTCACAAGCAATTTTCTATCTTAAAACTAGCTTTGAAAATCAGAAGCAAAGTGGACATGGAGAATTATTTTTAATTTTACGATTTTGGCCTGTAACGTGTAGATCTGTAAGCTCTTAACTAAATCTCTAGCATTTGCATAAATATAGCAAGTTCACCTTTTTCAAAGTGCGTTACATTTTGACAATAAATTGCCAAAGTTGGCTCAGGGGTGCCAAATATAAACCCAGTATCATATGAACCCATTAAGGGCACTTGCTAAAACTTATTTTTTGGGAGTTTGTTGCGCTTTAGAATTCCTGGCACTACAGACAATGTTAAGGAAGCGGATAACGATTGTTTTTTGGCTGCTTTTTGGCATCCTGAAAAACAAAACTGGCATTTGGAAGGGAAGCAAAAAAATCTAACAAGAAAAAATAAACAGCTTTTTAACAATTTAATCAAAGTGTTTAGTCTGTGAACATTTTGTGCTCTAAGCAGATTTAGCCCAAGAAGTGGGAGAAAGAAAATGGTTCTCCACAAACCAGGGTTTCTAAGATATTTGGCAATTACTTTGACAAGGCCAATATAATAGCTTTATTGTTATCCTGATTTAATGACTCTCGGACCCCTCTAAGCTATCCTGAAGAAAAAGGAAAAAAAAATAAATAAATAAAAAAAAAATAACAGAAAACCCACTTCGCTTTTTCAAAAAGGTTGTTTCCTCCCTTCCCCCCCCAAAACATGCCAAGACTAGTAGAAGATTCTGCAGGCTTCATGCCAAAATCTAGCAAGGAAACAAATCTAACAGGCAGTGATTAAGGTTACTCTGGTGTTTATAGCATGTCTCTGTCTCTTCAGAGTAAAGGGAGCATTTACATTGCTGACTTGTCACACCTCTAGTAGTAGTCACGCAAGCGGCCACTAGAGGTGCTTCCTACTCCTACGTTCAGCATCTCCTCGCTCTGCATGGAGGTGCATTGATTCACTGCATCGCTGTGACGAAATGCTGATTGGCAACAGCCTCCCAATGCTTTACTAAAAGGAGAGACCGGCACGGCACGGAAAAGTCACCTTTCCCATGCGATTGGAGGGAAATGCCATAGTGGCCGGAATACATGTTTTTATTCCTGACACTTTATTGAAACACTTAAAAATTAAATAAGGTAGGCACACTCAATAAGAAATATATGCAAGCTCCCAAGTGGAGCCCTATGAAAATACAATATGGGGTGCTTTATCCCCAAAAGCCCAAATACATATAAATAACAATGGAGTAAGGAGCACAACCGTTTACTTTTGATTGTTTCTCTTTTCGTGTTTTTATTTTTTCATCCTTTTCAAACTGCCTTACCATTTGGGGCAGTTGATCTTTATATCTTTATATTAATACTGATGTAATATTTATATTATTGTTTATCTCATAATATGTTTCTACTATGTCCACTACATGTATACTTAATATCTTGCCTGCATGTTTTATGTTGATTTTGTATTTTTATGTCTAGTATTTTTCTTTATATATTTTATTTGTAAACCTGCATTTTGATATGTACTTAGGTCAGGGCTTTCTGGTTCCCTTGACAACCCTGAACAGGTGTATCATGGTTGGGAGGATCCCAGTCATCATGGGTGTCCACCCATTTTTTTTCCAGGTGTTTCCTATGTTTGTTTTTTACTTTGGGTATATAAGAACAGGATTTAGTTTCTCTCAACATGCTCCCTTGATAAAGGCATTTTTGCCGAAACGTTGGGGGTGTTTTTGTGACTGACTCTGTCCCTGCTTCTCACTAGGTCTGGTATGCTTATTGTTATCTATATTTATGTTTATATTTGTGGGGTTGGATTAGACTTATTTCATTTTTCTATTTTTGTATATTGAGACTGTTATTCATATAAGATGCTTTTGGCGTACATGCAAATATATTCAGAATTTTTCTGATTATTGCTGTATAGCGTGACATGATCCTTTATTTTGGATCTTTATGTTATGTGATATTTTTATAGAGTATACCCACTTAATAAAGATTGTTTTATTACTATTGATGGTTGTGCTCCTTACTCCATTGTTATTTAACTATATTTAAAAAACAACAGGGTCAAAATAAAAGCACACGTACGTGCTTTGGCAGTAAGCTGGATGAGAAAGTGGAACATCCGCTTTATATCAAGGAAAGGAGTAAACTAAAAAAAAAAAAATTATATATATATATATATATATATATATATATTTAAAAAAAATAAAAAAATCTGCAGGAATTTATTATATTAAAACCCATGTGTAGATTCAAAGTATTTAACCAGGAAAGGTACATTCAGATTACTCTGGTTTTCAAGTACCTCCTGGGGATGTTACCTTAGCCCAAGATCCAGGGGTTGTTACTATGTTTAAATCAAAACAAAGGACAAAAAAATAAAACTATTGTAACCCAACCAGAATCAGTGTGTACACAGCAGAGATAGCATGTGATGGCCTCTGCACTCAGACTCATGACCCTCAGCAGGATATGCCTGGTTGAGCATCATGGGGGGGTCTTCGTCCATAACCGAGAAGTCCTCTTGATTAAAGGTAAATGTAACGTGTTCTGAATGAAACTAAAAAATAAGTCAGGGAGACAGCTACTTGAGGTGGATTTAACCCTTTAACCCCCGGTGCTAAACAAACCTGCAATGTTTAACATTTTGGGGCTAAAACTAAGATCCAAATAAGGAAAAAAAATAAAAATCGGAAACAATATTTTGTCACAGATCACACATCATACACACTTTCATATTATCATTGTCTAGTATTACTGCGCTCCACAGTAATTCAAGTCATTAAGAAGCAAGATTCACCAGGAAATGCAACGTAGCATTACTAACCACTCCACATCAAATAATCTGCAGTGACGTACTCTGGCATTCCACTTAAATAAACACTTCCTAGAAAACTGACTCACTAGTCATTATGTCAGAGGTGAGAACACTACATGTACACCCAAGAAATCAATTTTCTTAGTGAGGCCAGCACGTATAGCAACTTAATAATGACGATGGCAATAAAAAAAAAAATATAATCACCAGTGTGCTGGGGTGTAGTACACACATGCATTCACTTCCTGGTGCGTAATATTTTGTAGCTTTTTAATGTTTTAAGACTTGTTGTAAATGGATTGCTGAAATCATTATGTCTGAATCATGTTTCATTCTTACAAATGCTGGTTGTTGGGGGAAAAAAATAAAATGTATAGACTTGATTTTAAGAGACGGATGATTCACTGAATGCTAAACATGTATCCGACAAACACAAAAAGAATTAAAAAATTATTTTTTTTTTTTTTTAAAAACCTATAAAAATAAATAAATAAAAAGGCAGAAATAAAAATCCTCATATGGTGTAAAAAGCCATGTTAAAAACAGGTCAAGTGCATTGTGATTCATACAGCCTATTTTTCTGACACTTCTTTTGCTTTCTCGTTCCCTGACCCCATGTACCATAAAAGTGGGGAAGAAAATGTCAAAAAGACTTTAAAAAAAAAAAAAAATTAAAAAAAACCCAGAGAATGTTCCATGATTCCCTTTAACTAGGGAAGCAGTAGGAATGCCTACAAACCTTGGGTTGCAGAGTGTGACAAATAAAACCCAAGTCACTGGCCCTTTCTATTTATTTAATTTGGAACATTGTTTGGGAAATCAACGGTGAGTAATTCAGATCAATTAACAGATGGACCCTTTCTGGTCTAATATAAATTGCAGGTGGTTTTTCTAAAAATTCTAAAGATAAATTTAGTGAATGACTACAATTTCTTTTAGTGTCAAAAGTACCTAGAATTATTTTCACAGATTCTCTACTACAATGTGTGTACATAGTGAATGGATAAAATGTTTTGTTTGTTTTTCAACATATGTTTGGCAAGCTACTCTTTTTTTTTTTTTCTATACACCTGTGTAATTCAATTGATGGGTGAGGTCAGCCGACAGAAGTTACTAGTGAGTGGCAATACAATACATCACTTTTTGAGAAGTAAAATCAAGTCTGATTACTAAACACATTCTTCATTACACAATAAATACGTTGTGCAAACTAAATTTTATTAGCGATGGCGAGTCAATGGGTGTCATCCCGCTGAAAGGTTTGCTGCCCCAAAAAAAAAATAAAAAAAATTTGAGCAGCTTCTAAAAACCAGGGCTGCCCCCTGACGTCCAAAGCTCTAGTACTCTGTAGCCAATCAAAAAATCTGGAAGTGGTTCATTCAAATTGATCCAGCCTTGGACGGTCAAGAAAGATTTCGAGATCTGGTAGGAGCAGGACTCCCATTACCTGAACAGCTGAGGAGGGCCCATGGAGAATTTTTTTTTTTTTATTTTATTTTTTGGATTATAAGGCAGCCAAAAAAAAAAAAAAAACCTGTCTGGGAGAGGAATGGATGAGAGCACCACAATCACTATAATACAGCTACTATACACGAGCAGGAATGAGGCAGCTGCAGAACATCTTGCCAGAGACTGACTTATAGGTTGGTATATCATCAAAATATGTTCTGTAACGGTTTTATTCATTACATTGAAAGGGATAGACCAAATTAGTTCAGATAGCACTCCAAGTACTCCAGAGCTTTTGTTGCTCAAAGTTTAAAAGATTAACGTTTAAGTTAGCACTCCAAACTTTTATCCGGAGATATATATTATATATATATCCCTTTCAATTTAAAGAATAAACCAGTTGCATACAAATACTATAAAACACACACACACACACACACACACACACACACACACTGAAGCTGTGAGTGGCTATGGGCATAAAACAAATCACTAAGGCAATCAGTAACCTTGCCCCCAATAAATTTAAAGAGATAAGCTGCTTCCTTACAAACAATGTCAGGACCCAGTAGGGAATCGGCTGGAATTCAAAGTATCCGCTTTGAGTGTATTAAAGGGCCCTGGTGCTATACCACACTACATACAGAAGAAACAGAATACCATCAGGACTGTAGATCTTCCACAATGCATGCCCATCACTCACTGCTGGCTTATGTTTAGCACTTCAGTTCTTGTGGAATACGTTTCTCATGGTGCTCAGCCAGCCTGCCCATTGGCTGCCTCAGCATCATGTGAATTAGAGTCCACAACAACTGGGTTGCGATTAAGTAAATACAGAGTTCCCTTAACCTGCAGTCTCTTGTGCTGTCACAGCCCACAGCAGACAGCAACCACCGAGTTACCTTCAGTCAGTGGGTGCATTCCCCAGGCCCCTGTGAGCAGTCTGCAAGCTGTCTATGAGAGAGGAATATACATTTTAACAGCAGGGGTCAACTGGGCAGACGGGCCCTCTGGAGTGAGGGACCCGGTCGCAGCTGCGACCCTGATAGTTCCACCACTGGACAGGTGATATAGCTTCTTTGTAATTACTCATTAATAATGAATGTGAAAATACTTATCAGCCAAACATGCAGAGATAGCTTTCCATAAGACCTATTCTATAATATTCTATATTTTACCCCGGTGATCTAGTATGACTTCACAGGATGATCTGTGCAACGTATAGAACCACAGAAAGCCAATTCCTGGTACTTCGATCACTGGTGATGTCACACAGGATGTGCTTTTAGGCAGGAGATTTAGGAGTCAGGCCAATTCTGACTAGAATATTATCTAAATCATTCAGGGGAAAAATGCCAACTCTGTTTATATTGCAGATTTAAGACAGCCACTAGAGGCGCTTCCTAACCTTCCTCAGAGTTTGACTCTGAATCTACGCTGGACATCCACACACTTTGCATGAGGACGTCCAGCATTTATTAAAACCCCATAGGAAAGCATTGAGTCAGTGCATTAGGTCCCCCATTGGCCAACATCAGATGAGGAATGCAACCCAGAAAAGGTTAGATAACCCATTACTTGCCAACGGAGGAAGAGGAGGGCCAGAGGGATGCTTTAGTGTCAGGAATACATCTCCACATTTCTCACACTAAAAGTTTTCCTTTAACTCTTCTTAGAAACACTTGATAAGAACAAGGACGGATACAGATAGGGCGTGAGGCTGTGTGATTAGAACACTTAAGAACAAGGGAGGGAAGTGGTAGAGATGGGCGTAAGCCAGTGTGATTAGCACAAGTACCAGTAACAAAGACACGTTCCAGAAACAGTATCCAGAATGAATTTACTGGTAAAATACATCCTCTATTACACATTTTATATTATTTTAGACATATTTCAAAGATTGCTAGTAGTGTGTTTTCTTAACCCCTTAAGGACCAAACTTCTGGAATTAAAGAGAATCATGACATGTCATGTGTCCTTAAGGGGTTAAGGAGACAAAAAAGTAAAAACAAAATGAGATAATAAAAATAGACCTTATATGATTCATATATGATCATGATACTTATATGATTATTGTTTCTTTCAGCTGTAAAAGACATAGTTGCTTTCTACAGTAGAACAACTGACAGGTTTTATATTCTAAAAACAAAAAGAAAAAAAATATATAGTTACTTGTGCAAGTTCCTAAATCCCTATGCACATTTAAATACCCCCAGCTATTTAACCCCTGAAGGACCAAACTTCTGGAATAAAAGGGAATCATGGCATGTCGCACATGGCATGTGTCCTTAAGGAGTTAAAGGTACATAGGGATTTGAGACAGTGTGCAAGTAACTTGGGTGCTCCAAGGCAACATTACATTGTCTACATACCATGATACGCAACATCAAACATGACTAATACAGAACAGTTCGCTGAATGGTATTTCCTGTGAATAGGGAAGCAGAGGATGTCTTAAGGGTTAAGTGAGGTAAGCATTATATTTGGTCCTTGAGGGCCTACCCGTCTCAATACACTGTAAACCAAATGCTGTACTATTGATTGGTTTAAGGCGTCCGCTGACCGCTCTAATGCAATCAGTGGGGGCCCTGCTGCCTCTAGCGGAATATCAGAAACCCGATGTCGATAGGGAAAACAAGGAACAGAGTCTGGGGAGCCAACATTGGGGTTAAACCGTTTGTGAACAGCTTAACCACTAAAGAAAGTCACATGGCCCTCCTGGTACCATAACAATTTTATTTTGATGAAGTTGCTATGGTGTCAGGAGGGTTCCTTTTAGGAGTGTTTGGGTTCTGTACCATATATAACAAGATCAAGAGGGTGTGCTACTACAGTATAAGTAGCCCATGGCACAAAATACAGTATAGATAGAGTGGCATTGAGCAAATCCTCAGACTTTGGAAGTTCAAGTGCGTGTGTCACTTCCCTGAGAGCAGGAGTTCCTCACCACCCCAACTAGAGAATGTTTTTATACTGGAGTCAGTGAAAGAAAGTAAAAAAAATTAAATAAAAAATATCCACTTACCTCTGGTCTCTACTTGTTCATGTAGCAATGTTATCAACGTAATCACATGTACCTAAGCAACGACACCACTTTTTTTTTTTTTATTTCTTTTTTTTTTTTTTAAAACATCTGCACTTGATTTAGTCTTCTTGCATTTATCCACAGGTGTGGTTACTGATTGGCAGTGATTTATTTATTTATTTAGTAGGAGAAAAGTTCAGAGGAAGTGATTAAAGTACACACAACTCAGCACGCTCATAGGAAAGTATTGGAGTGGCTGAGATCATCATCTCTGATGACCTCAGCCAAGAAGAAGGGGGTGGAGCCAAACATTGACCTGGCCAAATCAACCTCTCCTCATAGAGATGCATTGAATCAATCTCTAAGTTCCACATCTCCATGCACAATTTGCAGCACTGGCGCAGGAAGCACCTCTAATGACAGCCACTGGAGTTATCCCTAGCAATGTAAATACAATATTTTCCCTGAAAAGGTAGTGTTTAAATTAAAATGACTGCAGGGACTGACTATACAAACCAGAACAACTACATTAAGCTGTAGCTGTTCTGGTGACAATAGTGCCTCTTTGAATAGAAACAGAAAATCACATGAAAAATAGGTTAATTCAAGCTGGAAAAAAAAAAAAAAAAAAAAAATAGGTTAATTACAGTGTTCAAGGCTATAATTTACACAGAAGTGAGTTCTTCTTTAAGTTAGGACCTGGCAGTATGACAATGTAGTTTTACCAAATAACGATAATTTTCACTTGAGTTAGAGGTTTTAGCGCTTGAAATTTTATTTGTCTCACTTTGTGTACGTTCTAAAAATAATTCCTAGAGCAAGGGTAAAAATCAATATTAATTTTTTTTTTAATATTTGAATAGCATGGAAAAAAAACTAAGAAAAAAATAAATAAAAGACACTACAACAACAAAGAAGTAAAAATGAGATAAGGATGCAGCACTTGGCAAAATGTTCTAGGATTGTAATAAGATTGAAATCATCGGTCTGGGCAGCTTTCCAATTTAAAATAAACTACACCAGCACGGACAATTAAACAGCAATTTCAAAGAACTATATGTAAATTTTCATCTTTCTGCACAGTTAGGCCTTTTCTTTTTTTACTACATAGAAGAAAAGAAAAAAAAAAAAATGTATTGTCCGTAGCATTGGTCGGCCAGGGGCCGGGTGGAGGGAGGGAGACTACTGGGTTACAGAATATAGGATTTACAAACGTGGCCACAAATTCTGCCGCATACAATTGGGGTATATAGAAAATGCAATACAGCCATTTCACTACACAAAAAAAAAAATTATATAGGATCCTTCCTGCAAATTCAAAATAGTGCAAATACAGCACTTTTATACAAAGCTCCAAAAAGCACGATTTGGGAGTTTTACAATTTAAAAGTTTGGTTAGGGCCCTCTTCGCCTACTGTTCCCGTAGGTCAGACATGTTTTGTTAGAATGGTTTGTCTGGTCTACCTATTGTACAGCGCAGCAGAATATGTTGGCACTATATAAAGAATTACAGTTATTAGAGGAGAGTTAACAATGGTATTTGAAACTGATGGCTGGAGAGTTACTTATAGAAAGAATAGTAAAGAGTGAATTAATATCATAACACATTTAACATGTCTTTAACAGGGGGGGAGGGGGCGGGAGTTTGAGCACTTAACATGTTCTTCCTTGAGTTCATTGCTCAAGCCACGACGATTCTGTGCTACAAGCTTCTGAATTGTACGCTCAGTGGGTTATTTATAAAATAGGAAACCATGCTAAATTGTAAACTTATTTAAAAAAAAAAAAAAAAACACAAAATAAATACATTTTAAATTAAAAAAAGTAAATAAAAACATGGTATTCATTACTTATTCCAATTAAAAACATTGTTTGGTTGGAGCAAAGTCCAATTAAATTACAAGTGTTTGTTTTGGGAAGCAAATACTAGTTTTCAATTACTTTAGTTTTTTTTTTTCCTTCTTTACATACAAATGTGTATTCCCTACTGCTAACAGGCTGAAACAGTCCAGCAATGGCTGTAGGCTAATTGGAGAAAAGTGTTGAGGCCTAAATGTTGCCATGTGGGTTTAATCATGTGAATCAGAGTGCAGTTTATTTACCAAGCTGGGCCATACTGCATCCATATTGGTACATTACTCTTTTATACACCGGTTGTGTGTACTTTAATCACTTCCTCTAAACTTTTCTCCTATTAAATGAATAAAAATCAATGCTACACAGTAACCACACCTGTGGATACATGCAAGCGGACTAAATCAAACACGGATGTTAAAAAAAAAAAAAAGGGACGTTGTCAAGCTCTTTTTTTTCCCTCCTTCCCTATTTCTCTAGAAAGGCAAGCGATACTTGCACAGGTTAGCCAAGGACACGCTGTCACATTACACATATTACTGTACGTAAGCACCAAGTTTTTCTGTATGTCTAGCACTGACTCAGCACCCACAACGTGGATCACTGCTCTGAAACGAGACAGATCAGGAACAAAGGACAGTCTTAAAGAGGAACTGCTGCCTATGATTATTTCACAACCCTATAGCCAAGTTTATTTATTTATTTTATTTATAAAATATTTTACCAGGAAAGATACATTGAGATTTCTCTCGTTTTCAAGTATGTTTAAAAGTTAACTATGAGTTGTTGTTTTTTTAGTAATACATTATGTGAATGCCTGCCAAGGCACAGTCTGGCATATGAAAATATGCCAAATGACAACTGAGTTTTAATAATAATAAAAAAAAAAAAAAAAGTGTTTACAATTTCCTACAAATATATAAATTGCCAAAAGGATAGGATTTTAGGTGAATAGCATCAGCAGGAAGGCAACACTATACTGGGCTATGTGCTACACTCTACCAAATTAAAATGTGAATAGTAAATTCAGGTTAAAATACCCAAGTTGTGGCTATAGTGGAGTTGGATCATTTTTCCAGATCAGCTTTTTTAGGATCACAGTATGCCATTCGGATTTCAATGTGCTCAATCTGGAGGTTGGTGAATGACCTAAATCAGTTGAGATATCAGCTTTTTACACATTTGCAGCTAACCTCCAGGATCTGATCGTTCAGCCAATGGACAGGCTCTCTTAAGCAATCAGGGTTTCCCACGTGTCTTTCTAATGCGTCATACATGATGTCACATTAAAGTGAATTACAGTTGCCCACACATTGTGCAGTACAGCCACTGGCAGTACCTTATTCACTTGAAGAAAAAGAATGAATGAGGCCTGCGTGTGGAAACGAACGGAAAACACCATAAGCGTTTTCATTCGCTTTGCACAGACAAATCTCATTCATTATTAAGTGTGTATAAGGGAGTAAATCGCCTTTACTACAACAAGCGTACGCCAGAAAGGAGAGGCAAAGAGATCTAGAGGTATGGTGCAAAAAAACATGCATCTGGTATGGCCACATACTAAACCAGGAATCGTGGACCATTGACAAATGAAACGCAATTTGTAAAGTTTAGGCCAAATGCTTCTCTGTCTTTAGCAACATTTTGCTAAATATCAACAACACAGTCTCTATTCTCTGTCCCATATATATTTTCTGATTGCACTGCAATTTCTTTACAATTTTTTCCATAAAGATTCTATCTTAATAAACAAACAAACTCAAAAGTGACTTTGGCATTTTAAAGGACCACTATAGTGCCAGGAAAACAAACATACTCGTTTTCCTGGCACTATAGTGCCCTGAGGGTGCCCCCACCCTCAGGGTCCCCCTCCCGCCAGGCTATAGGGTGAGGAAGCGGTTAAATTTACCTCTTTCTCCAGCGCCGGGCGGGGGACTCTCCTCCTCGGCTGAATGCGCATGCGCGGCAAGAGCCGTGTGCGCATTCAGCCAGTCCATAGGAAAGCATTCACAATGCTTTCCTATGGACATTAGCGTCTTCTCACTGTGAAAATCACAGTGAGAAGCGCCTCTAGCGGCTGTCAACGAGACAGCCACCAGAGGCTGGATTAACCCTCTTATAAACATAGCAGTTTCTCTGAAACTGCTATGTTTATAGAAAAAAGGGTTAAACCTAGCTGGACCAGGCACCCAGACCACCTCATTAAGCGGAAGTGGTCTGAGTGCCTATAGTGGTCCTTTAAGGGCACAACGTCTGGAATAAAAGGGAATCATGATGGAATATTTCCTTCATGTGTCCATAAGGGGTTAAGCAAGTTTGTCACTCTGCTTCCAGTCGGTCGCCTTTGAGAGTCACCTTTAGAAGAAAAAAAGAAAAAAAAAATCGACTTTATAAGAATTCACTTTAGGAAGGAGTAGAAACAAAGGGTAACTTTCCTGGCAGTACTTGCTTTATCATCACACAAACTGGAATGTTGCCAACTAGAAAGCTCAATATTTATTTATATTAACGCAAAGGGATTTAACCAGTTCAGTGTGACTTGAATTTTAATAAAATATTTAAAGATTATTTTTAAAAAGGTTTGAGCATACAGCAATAGCTTTGGTGTGTTAGCATCAGAATGAAAAAGTTTGTGCCCCACAAACACTGCAAGTATAGATTTTATGAACTAAGGGTAGCATTAGTATATTAGTAAAACAAGGGAGATACAGAAATTAAATCACTTCAATGCAAACCCTTTCAAGAAAAGCATGTGCGCTTTGGTTTTAACTGACAAAAAAAAAAAATATTAATGTAGGAGCTAGAATAATCTGTTATTTACAATGACCAAGTTTGTAAGTATGTGTACATATACATTATTATATATAATTGAATGCAATGCTACATATCAGATTAGCTCTTTTGTGCCTAAGGAGACGGCAGGGGATTTTGACTAATCTCAAAGGTTTACAATTATATTACAATGCTGAGATTACCTGCAACAAAATATCTCAATTTAGCAAAAATCGGTATTTCTAAAATGAAGAAATAGGCCTTAATAGTTTTTTTGTTTTTTTTAAGAATAAATAAATGTGTAGGTCCCTGACCAGCTCTCATGTCACAAAGATTGCCAATTTCAATACGAGAATGCTAAATAATGGACATGTCAGGATGAGCAGATGATCATCACATTGCAGCAGGCATACACATTAAGAGGCATGCAGTGCGCAGCTCACATGTTAACAGGAGTCACACATTCAGGGATAGAACATTGGTGACCTAGTACGGGTCATACAATCAACCACTGAGTGTTAGCTCACGGGGACAGTTTGAAATCTTGACCATTGTCAGTAAAGGTTAATACAATGTATATTGCAAGAAATTGCCGGTGCATTAACACATCACATGTAACAAGTAGCATGTAAACAGGCACAAATAAACAAACACATAGATCATTGAGGTTATTACAACTGTGGCGTGAACAAAGCATCCCACATTAGCAAGTGTGGGGTTACGACGGATTTAGACAAAATTAGGTCAAAGCCTTCAGCACAGATCTCCTGAGGCAGCCTCTATACTCCAAAATCATTCCATTAAGGTGAAGTGAACTTGGTGTGTAGAGTGCCCTTTAAACAGTTAAACCATTGCCTGGTCACTATAGCTAGTAAAAATATTATATTGTATTATATTAATATATATATATACACATACACATACACACACACACACACACACAAATAAAAATCAGAGCTAGTGACACTAATAGGTTAAATTATTTAATCTACTTGACGTACAGGTTGCGTAAATCCAAAGATTCACATAGAGAACTGGATTGGTGGAGTGTTGGATATCGGCGATTGTCACACGTGTTGTGCACCCATACACTATATATATATATATATACACACACACACACACACACACACACACACATATATATATATATATATACACACATACACACAATCCAGCGCACTCGCTTATTCACTAAACAATGATTTCATATCTTAGAGATTGTAATAGTTTTATTTAAAAACATCTCACCTAGACAAAAAATGATGGGGGTTTAGTTACATTATATGATCATACATTGCATAAGCCTGCCAACTACGTCAAAGTACCCCATATTCGGCAGGTCCTATCCTAGTAGCAGCCTAATGCTTGCTCTTAGGAGATTAATCCACTTACTTGGGAAATGCTTCCTTACTGGGACTCTCTGCAAGTCAAGGCTAAATAGGATCCTGGAATGAGGCACCCTATAATTAATGTATGTATGTATGTATGTATGTATGTATATACACACACACACACAAAAATAAATAATCCGACTGGACAAAAGTCATTATGATTGAAGACTTTACAAATGCCTGATTGGGCTGCTGTGAGGAGTCTGTCCCAGGTCTGGATTATAAACAAAAGGAACATACACACATATACATACACACACGTATATATATTTTAACTATTTAGGAAGGCTAGGCAGATGCCTTTATGTCTGTAATTCTGTCGGTCCTTAATGTATAAATAAATACTGTGTCTGCACTATGCAGGGCAGACCTGGATCACACTACTGCCCTCCCCTACCTGACAGGCTCACGTTGCTGTTTACCACAAGGAGCACAGCCAGTGGTAACTACCTTACAGGGCTACCTTCCAGCAGGTAGGTACAGGAAGGCCCTCCATCAGCACCACACAATGCATGGCTTCTATACATCATCAATGGCGACTCCATGCTGTACACACACAGCATCTGCTTTAATCATTGGACAACCCTGCATAAAGGCTGTGGGATCTGCAAGCAGTTTAACTACAACTCCCAGAACCTCAATTCTGCACATGATTGGCTAAGGGTGATTGGAGTGAGCAGGAAATCTGCAGGTTGCACATCTTTAAATCCACACGGTGTGAAACATTAATCTAACAAAAGGATGAGTGATTCAGCAATCCAGGTTTGGGATTTGGATGCTGGCATGTATATAGGGGCACAGAGGGAAGTGATCAATCCCTGGGCACCAGATCTGCCCACTGGACCCCCAATCCAGGCAATGCACAGGATACCAAGTGGAAGCCAGAGCTGAGTGTAGAACGCCAAGGGTTAACAAGAGATACATTGTATCAGTACCTTCCTCCGAGCTCCTGGTATATACACTGCTCTGCAGGCTGTGTGTCCCTCTCCAGCAGGCTGTGTGTCTGTCTGTCCCTCTCCAGCAGGCTGTGTGTCTCTGTCAGTCTCTCTGTGTGTGTGTCAGCTCACCCTGTGTGCAGTGCACCGATCAGCCGTCACTGGCAATGAGAAAGTGAGGGGCCAGGGACTGTATGTTTATCAGCCTGCAGGATCCTCCCCCTGCCTGTTCAGTAAGGGCCTCCCTTGGACCTGCCTCCTTCATTCGTATTGTGTCTGCAGTATCCTATTACATTACCTCCCTTATTGTGTAACCTCAGTGCTCTTACAGCAGTGCCCCCCCCTCCTCTTTTCTCAGTTCCTCCCTCTACCCTCCTCTTATTGCTTCCCCCTCCCTTTCTCTTAATTTCTCCCCTGCTGTCAGTGTTTCCCCCTCCCCTTCTCTCAGTGGTACCACCCTCCCCCAACTCCCCCATGCACAACACATTTTTAACATGTTGCATGGAGGACCCCATCCATATCCCACCTTTCCTTGTGTGACACTTGCTCATGACTAAAGTGCATACACAGGGCCTTATTCACTAAACAGGGAGTTGTGGAGAATTCACAAATTGTGATTTTGCCATAAATAGCAAAGCTAGAACTAGTGGGAGATTGTTTGCATTGTTTTTATCTCCCTATGGGGAGGGAGGGGGGAGTCCAACATAAACTAAACTTTTACTACTGTAACATTGCATACTGCCTCCTGGGGTCTTACACATTGGGACATCATAAGCTGCATAGTGGCATAGTGTATCCTGTACGCACATTGTATTCTAACACTGCACAGTTTATACAGAGATTTCTGCATAGTGCGGTGGGTGCAAAGCTTTAATCTTTAACCCCTTAAGGACCAAACTAATGGAATAAAAGGGAATCACGACATGTCACACATGTCATGTGTCCTTAAGGGGTTAAATGCACGTTCAGGCTTTGGGTAGTTTGCAGGGTCACTTGGCAATAGCTCCCTCACACCACACACACTAATAATATAGAGCTCCTAGAAAAGAGGGGCATTAGGATAGCAAAAAAGTACATAGAGATTTGGGCTCAAAATAGAGATTGTCCAGTTACTCTCCATCATAGGGACATAGGGGAAGCATTCTTTCCCACTCTTGCCCTATGCTGCGACCAAGTGTATACTGCCCCTAACGTTCTACACAAAGTATGTTCCTCCTGCCCATAGGTCTCCTAACTCTCCGGATTTAAAGGAGCACTATAGTGTTAGGGATACAAATGTGACACTAGTGTTTAACTATTTAGGTCACTGGCCCCCTCCTATAGCATTGAAAAGGTGTTTTTACTCACTTTTCCCCCCACTCTGCGCAGGCCTCGCCGCGGCTGGCTCTGCTTCCATGTCTGAGTTCATCAGTCTTGATGATTTCAGCCAATCCAATGCTTTCCCATACTAAAAACGCCACGCTGCACCTATCAGTATCTCCTCATTGCAATGCATTGAATCATGCCTGGCTTACTGACGTGGCAGGTGAGCTTACTTTTAAACTGACACTATAGGCACTCAGAACACTTCATATCATTGAAATGGCCTGGGTGCAGTGCCCTTGTCCAAATTACCCAGTTATTGAGAAACTGCAATAATTACATTGGAGGATTAACTCCACCTCTTGTAGCTGTCTACCAGACAGCCACTAGATGTGCTTCTGAGTCCTTAGTGGACTTTTGGTCGTTAACTGACTCTGAACGTCCACACACTTTGCATTTATTCAATGCTTTCCTAAGGGATAGTTCTATAGTGATCACGAATCACCTCACCATACAGAATTTAGTCTGATATAAGTACCAGGAGCACTTGTTTAAGAAGAAAAATGCAATAAAGAAAAAAAAAGTGGGAAAGGGCGCAGGATAGTGTATAAAAACAACATCGCTTTAATAAGTTATGTCCAAAAGAGCATCAATACATGCACAATATCACTTACTATATGATTAAAAGACTGCTATATAAACAGAAAACGGAGCAGAAATAAAGACCACGACAGGATACAAAATGTTTAGTGCAAAATGAAGTGTATCCAACAGGTTATAATCATAGTATCCAAATAACCACATGTCCCAGTCTTATTCCACTGATGTCTCCTGCTATAGATCACAAGTCTAATATGAGTAAAAGCCGATGCAGACAGACGTTGGGGTAAGGCTCACTGCAGAGTAGGACTACCAGGGGTTAATGCAAGTAGTTATTCCTTTTTCCTTTCATTGGCTTCTTTTGCCCGCGATCTAATGTGACCGCGTCACTCAAGGCGCATGTGCATTAAATCCACCCCGCTGGCTGATATCGTCAGAAAGAAAGTGACAAAAGGGTTTTTAACCTTTTTAACCAAGCGAGGGAGGGGGTCACTATAGGATACTGTAGTGCTAGGAACTTTGTATTGCAAGCAAGATAGTTTCCCTTCAAGTGGCCAATGGAGTTATTTAAATATGCATAGGGATTTGGGATAGTGCGCAAGTAACTCTTTTCTCTGTTTTTTATTGTACGTATTGAGGCAGATGCAGGCCTGGACTGGCTATCGGGCACACCAAGCAAATGCCCGGTGGGCCGTGATGTCCATGGGATCTCCCCAGCTGGTCCATGCAGGGCCTGCGCTATCTGAGCGCTGGCCCCGCTGTGTTCCATGACATGCCAGTGGGGAGATCAGAGTTGAGGAGGGAGGGAGACAGGAGAGGACCTGAAGGAGCTCTATCTTGTAGCTCCACCGTGTCCTCTCACGAGATCTGGAGCGATGCCATGGCAACGCTCTGGGTCTCGCAAGAGTGAACTCTAGCCCCACAGGCTAGAGTTTACTCACCACTAGGACCACCAGGGATGGCAGCACGGTCCCCCCTCCCAGGCTAAAGGTAAGAATGGAGGGGGGATATAATGTCTGTTTAAAAAAAAAAAACACACACACATCACCCTCACACAGCACCCTCACTCACACACAGCACCCTCACTCACACTTCACACTTTACACAAACACTGCACACCTCACACACACAGCAACCTCACTCACACACTGCACACCTCATACACACACACTGCACAACTCACACACAGCACCCTCACACACACACTGCACACCTCACACACAGTACCCTCACACACCCATACTGCACACACACACACAGTACGCACACACAGCATCCTCACACACACACACTATACTCCTCACAAATACACTGCACCCCTCACACACACATAAGCAGGCTACAAACACATGCACAGTACTCTTTCCTGGTATTTATGTCTCCTGGTATTCCATTTATAGAGACACCAGAGACAATTTTCAAGCAAACACAACGCAAGCATGTTATTAAACTTGCTTGCACTGTGCAGGACAGATACAGGGCCTTTTTCTCATGCTAGAGTACTTCAGCAGAGCTCTGTGCATGGTCTGCCTTGGAAGAGCATTGAACCAACATGCTCACTTTGGGATGTGGCGTGCTTGTCATTGGGGACACCCTCTCTGGCCCGAATTTTTTTCGCAGTCCGGCCCTGGGCTGATGTGTACTATAGTCATTGCTGCCAACCAGGAGTTGTGGGAGTTTGAGAGCAGGACTTAAAGGGACACACATTCAATTCATCTCTATGAGGAGATGCTGATTGGCCAGGGCTGTGTTAGAATTGTACTGGCTCTGCCCCTGATCTGCCTCTTTGTCAGTCTCAGCCAATCCTATGGGGAAGCATTGTGATTGGAACAGGCTACCACTTCTGCTGATGTCAGCAGGCAGTGGGCAGTTCTAAAGGAAACAGGGACAAAGCATGCAGCTCCAGACTTGAATACAAGTAAGATTTTACTATATTTGGGGGGAAGGGGGGTTAGATGGTGAGGGGGGCTAGATGGTGATTTTAACCCTATAGGGTCAGGAATACATATTTGTGTTCCAGACCCCATAGTGTTCCTTTAATTTTGTATATGCCTGTCTTACTGGTCAACGTACCAGCCAGGTCATGTCTTGTCTTGCTTGTTTAAACAGCGCACATGTGTCTAATTATGCACTTATGGTACTTTCTGAGCCCAATTCCCTGGTGTCAGCAAACATTAGATACCAGTGAACAAACCTGCAAATGTCCCGCATAGCCCAGGACTTATAAGAGGTATGGCAGTGGCCTTATATTATAAACTCGATCAATGATCCACTCCTTATTGCATAGCCTTCCTCACAGTATATGGTGTTAAAAATAATATCAGGAAGTATTACTTTACTGAGAGGGTAGTGGATGCATGGAATAGCCTTCCAGCTGAAGTGGTAAAGGTTAACACATCAAAGGAGTTTAAGAATGCATGGGATAGGCATAAGGCTATCCTAATTATAAGATAAGGCCAGGGACTAACGAAAGTATTTAGAAAATTGGACTAGATGGGCCAAATGGTTCTTATCTGCCGTCACTATGTTGCTATGTTTCTATGTGCTGTTAATGTAAAAAACATCAGCTTACCTCAAAACTGGAAAAGACAGGAGATCACTATTTAGTAAATCATTGCTACAAAATAAATATATTGTGCTCAGGAATTAATAGATTTTAAGGGGCGGATTTACTAAATTTTGCAGTGATGTCATGCAAACAAAATACTGGAGCTGTGTAGCAAATTCGTACAATAACCAATCAGCCCATCTATTCTGATTGGCTTGGATAAAGTGCTGATGGTTATTGTACTTTGGTAAAAGCAGGCTGCAAGCTGATTTGCTATGCTGCTCTTGTCATTTGTGCACAAAATCTATTAAATCTTGGGCACAATTTAATAAATTATTCCCAAATAACAATGAAAACTGCTTAAAGCGAACACTAGCATTAGATGCAGAAACACGTGAACGGCTGCTGCAAAGTGCTATACTTGAGGACTCTCTGTGATAATAAATTAAATTTGAAGTCCAAAAATGCAGCCCCTCCTATATATATTTATTTTGCAGTTTATTGAATAACCCTGTGTGCATGTTATTGCTGTGAAGCTCATTATAGAAACACTATCTAGTGACCCATAACTTTTTTACCTTTAATAGAGCTTGATGATCATTTTGTCCAATAAAATGCTTCTTGTACAGAAGTATTGAGGACTTTAAGGGACACTATAGACACCAAAACAAATGTAGGGTAATAAAGTAGTTTTGGTGCATAGATCATGCCCCTGCAGTGCTCAAATCTCTGTATTTAGGAGTTAAATCACATTGATTATGCAGCCCTAGTCACATCTCCATCTTGTGACTTGCACAGTCTTCCTAA